ATATATATATATATATATATACACATATATATTATATAATATATAAATGGTTTAAAGTACTGAATTGAGGGGCCTAGAAATCCGACTCTAAGCCTAGACCTGCTTGCTTACCTAGATAACCAAATGAATGAAGCTACCTGACTACCTCAACAGAAAGTTTCTGTGCTCCAAGGACTAAGATAACATTACTTTCCAATTCAAATTAAGCCAAAAGGGAAACAGACCTTCACAAGTTACAGCTGCGTAACAATCTAGCTGAAGTTATCTGGGTTAATGGTTCTAACTACAGTCAGTTCAATGTAAAAGTAGAGAAGCCTTCATGGGCTTTCTTTCAGACAAGGACTCTGCATACATAAAAACTATGAGAAAAAAGCAAGTGTCAGAAATAAATATGAACTCATCTGGTTTCAAATTTTATAAAAGGAATGTGTGAATTCAAAACTATGACATATTTCTAATTTTAAATCAACAGCAACAGTGCCAGACCAGCAAAATGACTGGACATTCACAAACACTGACCACAGGCTCAGATTCAGCTTGGGTCAAAGCAATTACTTCCACTCTCTGTTGACAGCAGTCAGATTTGGGTCACCCACATACTAGACAAGCTAATCTGATAAGGCTGATCAGGTTTAACGCCTAGGTTGTTTGTAGATTATGGTAAACATCAAAAAGGAGGTTCTCATATCAAATCTTAGAGAACAATCCTTAAAGAAAAACTTCTCTAAGTCTCTTGGGTATAGCAAAAAAAAAAAAAAAAAACTACTCCCTTTTCAACACCGTATTACATTGTTGAAGAAAATACAACTTTTTTAATCAGTGAATCTGAATTGTTAAATCACTGAAACTTCATTTAAAAGAAAATGGTGGAATGTGTGTTTTAGACCTTGATTTTACTTGGGGAAAAACAGTGACAATCATAGTCTGAAAACTGAAAGGAGCTGGACTCATCAAGCTGAAGGAAAAAAAAAAAAGAAAAGATCTTGTTACTTATTTTACAAAATACTCGAAGTCTATCTTAAGGAACATCCTCATGAATTCTCAAGATACGAAAACCCCTGCCCTAAGCTTTTCTGATCTAGAAACAGAATTTCAGACTGGATCTGAAGAACCCATGCGGGGATGCAGAATGTCATGTTTCCTCTTTTCTGTCAGTTCATTCTGATCCCAACAAGCACCCAGTGAGGGAGGCACTTCAACCAATGTCATCCCTGTTTTGCACGTCAGAACAAAAAGAGAGGTCAATTAGCTCAAAAGACACCAAGCTAGGAAGGACCCGCCAGGACTAATTCCAACCCCCCAAACCCCTACCAGAATTAGACTTGGACTTGGAGGCATATACATAAGACCAAAGTCCAGGTCACCTGAGGTACATAGTAAAATGCAGATTTTCAATCTCCAGACTTGGAATTTCTGAGGATGGACTTTAGAAATAAATACATGTCAATCAAGTTCTCCAAATGATTCTGAAGCCCATCGGTTTGAGCACCACCAGCATGAGTGAATTCTAAATCCAAATCCAGCCGGAAAACCCCTTTGTTTACCTATCCTCCACACAACACAAGAGCTTGCCAAGCAAATCAAGCAGCTTCTTCAAGTTTACCACACCAGTGACCTAGCCTGAGTTAGTCACGTCAAGACATTACGTGCCTCAGCCTGAAAAGCCATGTCAGAGGTGCATACACTATCAGCTTCACTCCTTCCAACATAACTTCTTAGTTGACATTACTCAACAGTATCTTCAAAGACTCCACGCACTCCAGAGGCATCTTCTGGTAGGTTACCAACACATAAGGTGTCAAATTCCTTCTGATGGTGCATAACATTTCAAGGACGGTGTCATGCCATTAACTTCTAGAGAAAATAATGTGGGTGTAACCATAGTCAAAACCATCAACCTGGGTTTACAGAGTGTCCATAATTGTGGTAGAGATCATACAAAAAACTGCCTTCTGCCCATTTAACTTTATTTCATATTGAAAATGCCAGTAGTCTCCTTTTGAATTAATTTCTTACAGCACAGCATTTTAAAAGGGAGGAAAAAACGGTGACAACTTCAGGTTTATTTTTTAGATTAAGAGTGTGTTCAGTGCCTCTGAAACATACGTTCAAAAAAAAAAACAAACCAAAAAAAGTATCGCCCCATGGTCCTGCTGTGTATCTCAGGGTGAAACAGGCTAAAAAGGCTTCACGGCAGCCATGCCAAGCCTTGTACTTCTGAAAGACCTCTCACAGTAATATGAGAATGTAAAACAGCAGGAGGCTGAGAGATGTAAAATGAAGAATAGAGAAAAAAAGGAACAGGCTTAGAAATAAACACATTTGAAAAAACAGTGAAGGATTTTTAAAAGATCAGTCCTAGTTTAAGAAAGAAGCATTGATACCTTGTCATTTGAACCTAAAAGAATATACCCAGGGCAAGACAAATTTCAGAAGACATGACACTTGAAATACAGAATTTTATTTAGAAACTGTTTAAAGTAGAAAAAAACCCTGTCAAGAAAGACCAGGTGGAAAATGGTTCCCAATAAAATGGAATTTAGGGCAACAAAAGTCTAAAAGGCCACAAAAGAGAAATAGCACCACTGTTATTTGAACAATGGCTAGTTACTTGCATTTTTGGCATTGTTAATCACTGAATCTGGGTTTTCCTCTGAATTCCACACATAGCATGCACTACACAACAATTTATCATAAAATACCTGCTTTCTACACACATTTTAGGACAAGTTACCACCGGAAACAAATCAATACAAATACATCAGGGGTTGAACAATCTCAGTAGTGGGTGACACACATTTTGCAGAATTCTGCCAAACAAGGGAACTGAGTAGGCTGTGGGCAAAGCAAATGAGGGAGCGTTAAGGAATGAAATACTTTAAATATTAATAATTAATTCAGACACCGTACTGTATTTTCTGCAAAAGAAAATTAACATTTAGTAACACGCTAACGAATTTTATCTCCAAAGAGATTAGTGCACTGGCAAAGTATTCCGGTAACAGCGGAGGGCTGTGGGGCAGCAGGTACCAAATCACCCAGCCTTGCAGATCCCAAGGTAGCGATGGCCTTCCCTGATCACTCCCTTTGCCAGAGGTCCAGAAAGAACTCACAGCACGATCACCTGCCTGCTGAACTTCCACTCTAAGCAGCAAACTTTCAGGAGCCAAAGAGGAGTCCCCAGTGGGCAAGGGGAACAGAGAAGAGAAACATGTTCAATGTAAACTTAAAAGACAGTAAAATGGGACACAGCCCTCATTCAAATCCCAGAGATGTGGGCAAGTCCCCAAAAGTAGTTGTTGGATTTAAAAACTGAACACACCTCATTTCCCAAAATACACAATACATAGAAATTTCAGGGGTAATTGGAAAAATCGTCAGAGAAATATGTTCAATGAAAATCAAGCTCTTCGGCTCAAACATCTTAGGGCTGAAACACACCCTCTATTCATTCAGGCAACAATACCTCTTGCTTCTTAGCAGAGATGCAATTGGTCAAGGACACCAAATGGCTTTACAGGGCAACATTTTAAACTTTCTTTCTGGGCCAAGGTTACACCCAGCCCTGCAAGGCCTGTGAACAGCAGGTTCCAGTTTCCAAGGTCTGGCCCTTCCTTCCCAGACACAAGGTCAAACACATAATATCTCCTGTCAGGTTACATTTTATATTTTGAAATATGGAGGCATATTTTAAATACTCTTAAGGCATTTATTTATTAAAACGTTCTCTGCCAAAATTTCACATTAGCTTAAAATTCAAATCAGTCTTTACATTTCTCTGCTGAGGTCCCCACCTCAGCATATCACATAAAAACACTTTCTCCAGTCATCAGTGTTACCAGCATCCATTCGGTGAGCCCCACGGTCAGCCTCTTTGTTCCCTAGGTGAACCAACTAGATGTTAATACTGCTCTGCTACAAGGGAAAAGCTCCTAACTCAAACTTATTGAAAAAGGAGTGAAACTTCTGCAAAGTGCACTTTAAGAAGAGGTACTTTTTGCTTATGAAAAGAAACCAGTGAGTCCTCTAAGGATAATAAAAGGGAGTATTTTACAGTTAAGCACATGATTTGGAGTGAAGAATTCAATGTTGCTCTGATGGTCCGGGCTGTTAATACTCTTCTTGTTCCTCCTGTGGGCCCCCTTCGTCAGGTATCACAAAGCCTTCCTAAAATGGGAAAAGGAGAAGGGAAAGCTATTACTCAACACTGAACCATCAGTTTCTACTGTGGGTTCACTTGTCTCATATTTAAAGTCTCTCAAGTCAACAGTTCTTCCTGTCTCTCCCACACACTTGGCATGTAATGGCACAAGGCCAGGGGACCGCTATTTTATTACTTAGGCAGTGGAATCACATCTCACAATCAAATGTACCCTCAAACTTTTGGGGGTGATGGATGTGTATACATTCTCCTGATTACAATGATGACTTCATGTGTTATCAAGTTGTACTTAAATATGTGTAGTTCATAAGGTCTATTATACCTCAATAAAGTTGTTTAAAAAAAAAGGTAAGTCACCTCAAAAATCCCTGAGGTCGCCATGAAGTTCAGCACTCCTCTCCATACAGTCTCTGCAGAGGCTTTTCCTTTCTGCATTTCTCTGACTGTACTGAGGAGCCATGCATGCTATTTAGGATTGTGGCGGGTGTTTTTAGTGTTTACACATAAAAACCTTCTGGGCAAAAATAGCTGCAAGACTGACCCAACATTAGTGGCATGGGAAAACAGCAGACTCGTGGCTCCCACCTCACACTCGCTCCAGGGCATTCCGGCACGTACTATTGGCTATACTAACATAAAAATCATCCTTGCCTTTCAATAGCCATCTTTTTTATTTTTTAAATCTCTACGACTGGATTTACTGAAGATATGACCCCACTAAAATAATATTCAGACTAGACCAAGGACCCCTATATCTTCATCATCTGGCACAGAGCAAGCCTGAAATAAGAATTTACTTAACAAATTATCAACTTTTCAGTCATCTGTCTTAATCCCCCAAATTCATCATTTAGAAGACAGTGTCAATTACAGCACTGATATTACCTACCTTGTATTTGTATACTGCCACACATACTACAAATCACTTAGCTATACACTGTAGTTTGATCCTACAGACCTTGCTAATGCAGAAGAACTGTAAGTAAACACATATAGCCATTAAACAGTAGACACAGCAAGATACCAAATTCTAGATCTAGGGAAAATCAGTCTTCCCTGGTCAGCTAATGTCATGATTTACGTCAGCAGATTCGGCTGTGTGATACACGTGGATCCCAAGTAATTTGACCACAAAGAACTTTGAGGGAATGGGAACCAGGCACACTCCTGGGAAGAGGGGCAAAAGTACACTCGGACAGCTGTGGGCAGCAGACCCCAAAAAGGGGCCACGTGCCTGGTTCTCCAGGACATGCCTAGGGCCCAGATCAAATGGAGACAACAACTCAGGCTGAGAGTTTGAAGCTGCAGGGGGGTGGAGTGGGAATGGCGGGGTTAAGGACATTTTGTGGCACTCATCATCTATCAGTGGCCACAAACTACAGAATCAGGGCAAGTCAGCCACCTTCTTTCCTATTCCGGCCTCACAGACCTCAAGGAAAAGGCCGAAGCTGGGCAGAGGTGCCCCCTGGCTGATTCTGAGGGGTCAAAGATGAAGTCCTTTGGTGAATGCTACACTGGAACACGACAAGCATCAGACTGAGTTTGCTGAAACCAACCAGATAAAATTCATTTTCTCCTAGGTGGCAAAATGGCAAGAAAATATCCTCATGTCAACACGTACATCTGTGGCATAGAGAATGTCCACAATCCTCTGCAGTACAGGGTTGTTTTCCCCTTCGTTCTCCTGGCAAATCAATTCAATGTTCCTTAGCTTTCCAAAGTAGAAATCTCTCTCTTTCTCCAAGTCTTCGACAGTAAGTTTCAATACGTTGACCTGCACAAAACATGAAAAAGGGTGAGACACCTGGCATTCATGTACCAGTATCGTAACAGACAAACTTCTAACCCAAAAGGAGATGTGCTCTTTCATCAAACTCTCTTAACGTGGACAAAAACCCACTTTAGTGTAATGTCAATTTTCTTCAGCCCCAGATACATAACATGTGCTTGTTCATGGTCACCTTGACAATAATAATTCCCAGGAAAGGGCAGACTATACCATGAAACACGCAGGAACTTCTCAGGGACTGAGAAAAGATCTAGAAGGAAAAATTATGGGAGCCTGAGACAGACAGAGAAGCAAAATCCAGCCCGACAGGGTGGCCAACAATCCTAAATTGAGTCCTTACCAAGGCATCGGCCAATCAAATCCAGGTCTTTCTGTGTGTGGAGGTCAACGGAAAGAGAAGATCGGTCTGGGGGAGCAGGGTAGAAACAGCGAGGCAGGAGGGGAAGACTAGCTAAAGATGACTAAGACTAGCACAGACGCGAGGACTGCGGGAGGGCTGGGCATGAAAAGCTCAAGCGCTCTTCCCACCCCACTCCCACCCATATATTGAAGGGAGGTTGGGGGGGGGAGCGATCCATGACCCAAAAGAAAAGCATCCGCTTTGGAGGAGGTCCTTGCACCTGTCTCTCTCCCAAGGGAGTCTAAAAAGTGAGAGAAGACAGTGCAGGCAGGGAGCAGACCCCGCCACACTCCACTTGCTCGCCCCCTCCATTGAGCATATCGTCCCCTCACCACACATGCTGCAGGAGCCTTCCGGAGCTCTACTGAGGGAGGGGCTCTAATCACCACAAAGGGGCAATGAAGAAATCAATCTCAGAGCTTAGGCCAGGACTCCAGCCAAGAGTAATAAAACAGAAGTCATAACAACTCTCCTGATTGGCCCTTTGTGTATTTTAAGCACAGTGCATCTTCATTCCAGTGTAGTCAAATCTATGACATGTGAATTCACTTTAACTCTCACTGAATGCAAATTACAAGGCACACCATGCAGCATAAAATCCTCACAGGACTTACAGGCTAGGGCCATACTGAAGCCACGCCAGGAAATCAAAGGTGCAACAGCCGAGAACAATTTGGGTAGCAGGGAATTCTGGGAACCAGAAAGCACCACAGAAATCTAGTCCAACCTTCTGAAGTTATAGTTGCAAAATCTGAAGCAAACAGCTCATCTAGCTTCCCCACAGCCTGACAAAGAAGCCAGATATAACCACTGGGATCGAGTCCTGTCCCAGGTGGAAGAAGGCTCCCCGCTCAGAACATGCAGTCGAGAAGCATCCAGAGATGAGGAGCCAGCAGGACTCCTCTGTCAAACACTGAACATCATGTCCATCATCAAAGACCTGAACAGACCAAACCAGAATCAAGGTTCTACACATCCTTTTGCTATTCCTTTATCAACCAAAGAAATCACTTTTAAAACCAAATGAAAGTGTCAATGAAGTTACTACCGTCCCCTAGTAGCCAGCAACGCTAAATCACCCATTTCCGCCTCCCCATTCTCACCACCCCTGCTTTAACTGCTGCCAGTTGCCTTTCCTTAAACTATCAGTTAACCCCCGAGTGCAGTACAACAGGGAAGAGAAGGACAAGAGCTGACCAATCCCAGCAGTAGGAAGCTGCCGTGGCTCTTCAGCTCCAAGATCCAGGAGCCTGGGAAAAGGCCTTATAATCACATCAGTGGCTGAGGAGGAAAGGGAAGCCAAAATAGCTTAAAAAGGTACACTAGCTTGGGGCCCACCTATACCCTCGTTTCACTAGTGCTTCCCTCACAAACCCAGTAAAACCCTCTCTGGCCTACAAATCATCCAGGGCACCAGAACCCAGCCTTCTGCGTGCCCCACCTGTAAGGCCAAAGCAGCATTCCTCCTCCATATCACTCAGGAACTATGTCTCCACAAGAAACTCTCAATAAATATACACTAAGTCACTGCCTTTCACCTGGCACTCCTCTAAATGCTTAGTTATGAGATTATTAAAAATCTGTGGCTAGAGGGGTGTAATGTCTAACTACTGGGTTGTCGGAAAAGTCAAGACTTATTTTTTCTGGTTTTTGTTGCAAAAATGCGTCAAGACTTTTCCAACAACCTAATATTACATTGTTTTGTACACCTGAAACTAATTTTTTTTTTCAAATCTGTGGCTAATAATCAATGTCACTCTTAGAACCTTCTCTTGTAATAACATAATAGCTGTAACCCAAGAAGAATGCTTAGGACCAGCACTGGCCAATCCAGTAGCTATGAGCCACACAAGGCTATTTGAGCCCTTAAAATGTGGCCAGTGCAAATGATATGGGCTGTAAACATTAAATACACACAGGATTTCAAAGACCTAGTATAGTCTCCAAATGTAAAACATCTCACTGATAATTATTTGTATTGGTTACATGTTACAATATTTCAGATATATTGGGTAATGTGTTATTAGAGTCCATTTAATCTGTTTCTTTTTACTTTTTTTAATGTGGCTACTAGAAAATTTCAAATTATGTATGCCTCACATTTCTGGTTCACATTCTATTTCTACTGAACCAAGCGCTGCTCTGGACTAAAATCAATCAAAAGTACATTTCTCCAGGACGACTTAAGAATGTGGAATCACTGAAGATCTTCTAAGGATATGAACACTACGGGGTAATTTGTACAGAATACACACTTCTTCTCTTAGCCCAATGAGCCCATCTGGCTCTATTTCCCATATCAATCGTGTCCTCCAGACCTCCACACCTTTGTCAAGGGCCACAAATTCAAATACTTTCAAGGACCAGAAAGATAAGCCAAAGAAGTCAGTAACAGGGTGTGGTAAAGACTCTGGTGTGGTAAAGACTCTGGTAACGGAGAGAAGCTAGAATACTTCATATTAAAAAAAAATTTTAATTTGTACAGGTCAAAGTACTTCTGAGACAAGTTGGGCTCAAATCCCAGGTCAGGTTACTTAACCTCTCTGAGCTGCACAGTCTTATCTGTAAAACCTCACAGGGCTAATGTGAAAGTGAAATTAAAAGTGCTTCATATTAACAGCATAATGACATACACACTCTAAAAATGTTAGCTAGTTTTGTTTTTATTATTAATGTTCACATATTCTATACACATTAACACTTGTGTACAATTTTAAAACTAGGATTAATCAAGAGAATCATCCAAGAGCAAACAAACAAAATAACTAGAAGGATTAGTAAGAAAATATCTAAAAGTCTAAAATTTGTTCTGATCCAGAGACGTCTGACAAAAACCTCCAAGAATATTAACTAATCCTGAAAGACATTTCACATCACTGACCTATTAAGAACAGAAGAGCAACAGGCTTTTCACACCAGTTCCACTTTCAACTTGAATCTCTAGTGACCCAGGATTTTAGCAGAGAAACTTTGAACTTTTTTTTTAATTATTTTTAATTATTCAAAAAGAAACTATCTTCTGTCAGAGCCAAAATTCAAGAAACACCCTGAATCCCACAGAACCCTGACAGCATTCCAGATATTCAACAGAGTTCCACTGCATAGGTGGGTTTCCAAACTCAGATGCTGGTTTCTGTCACACTAATAGGTCTCAGAAACGTCTGACCTGTCTCTTCCACCTCCATCTCCACGCTCATTGCCTCCCCCCAGTACCGGACGTGCTCACTCACATCACAGGGACTACTTCAGCAAGCAGACAAAGCAGGTCTTCCCACAAGCACACAGACAAGCCTCCCCTGGTCAGTGCAGCAAGCGCCCTTCCCCTGAAGTGACGGCCATCTTGGACACGGGAGGCGCCTACCTGCTGCATCAACTCTGCGGCTTCGTCGTCCCCATTGCCCACACCAGGATTCTTGCGCACCACACCCGGGCCAGCCTTCGGGGTTGCAGTAGGTCTGTGTGTTGCAATGGGCCTCTGTGGAGCTGAGAGAAGATGTCTTTTTAGGAGCAGAAATTTCAAGACAAAAAGAACCCACCACACAACATGAGGAGGCTGTGACCGGGGCCCAGTGTGAAGAGCTCAGCATGCATGACAACGCTCCCAAGTTGGCCTAAAGTGGCTTTTTATCCTAGAAGCAGAGTTAAGTACCAACTTTAGCCACAATTTCTTGTGCCAGGAGTAAGTCCTTCAGGGAGGTCTTTTTGCCGCTGGAGTGAATGGAACTATCTGAAAGAGGCACACACAGTTGATCTACCTTAACCCAGTTCCAACCAAATCCACTAGCAAGGCAGCTTCATGGCACAAAGGCAAACTTCCCAGCAGGAGCCAGCTCATAGTCCCAGCTGTTGCCGGGTACCCACAGTTCCCCATCTGGAAAGTATGATTCCCTAAATCAGAACCTCAGGCTCCTTGGATTAAGAAGAGCAGGGTGGTACAGACTGCCCTTATAACTAATTACTTCAAAACCCTTATCTTGCTCACCTTTTAGAAGATGTTTAGAAGGGTTAGGAGAGAAAAGCAACAAATGGACTAGGATTTACAGATTTCCCTCAGTAGCAATAGTCAAAAGCAGACAAAGACAAGGAAAAAGTAGTAAAGGGGCCAACCTATCTGCAAGTTAAAATAATCAAGACTAGGCTACCTCAAGGTCAATGCGTCATTCACGATTTTATTCATTCATTTGGCAATTATCTTGTAAAGCTTGTACGTCATGCCAGGCTTAGATATATCTCCTCTTCCTGACACCCCAGATTATTCAATAACCATAAGGTCTGTCACCTACAGTAACAGAGGCATTTCCTCTGGATGATCTCTAGTGTCATCTCTAGTATGTGTATCTCTAGAATGTTTATCCTGAAGACTAAATGCTTAATGCAAGTCTCCACTTGCCTGTTAGTCACATCTGAAACATGAAATGTACATGGTTATCTATGCAGTCTCCTATACTAAACAGCTAAATAAAAGTACTCAGAGATTGGAGAGATTGGAGTCCTCATGTACTCTGCTGATGGGAATGTAAACTGGTGCAGCCACTTTGGAAAACAGTCTGCAAAGGTTAAACAGAGTTACCATATGACCCAAGAACTCTGCTCCAAAAGTATATACTCTTGGATACGTACCCAAAAGAAATGAAAACATATATCCACAAAGAAACCTGTATAAGAATGTTCATAGCAGTATTATTTATAACAGCTAAAAAGTGGAAACAACACAAATGATTAACAGATGAATAAACAGAATGTGGTATAGTCACACAATGAAATTATTTAGCCATAAAAAGGAATAAACTACTGATCCATGCTACAACATGGATAAATGTTGAAAACCTGCTAAATGAAAATAGCCAGACACAAGAGACCACGTATTCTATGATCCTACTTATAGGAAATGCTCAGAATAGGTAAACCTATAGACAGAAAGTGGATTGGTGGTTGCCTAGGTCTGCGGGGGAGGGGAGTTAGGGGAAAACGGGACATGACATTTATTAGGCACATACCAGGTTTCCTTTGGGGGTAATGAGAATGTTCTAAAATTGACTGTGGTGATAGTTTAACACGTCTGTAAATATACTAAAATCCACTGAACTGTACATTTTAAATGAGTGAATTGTATGGCATGAAAATGTATCTCAATAATGTTGTTAACAATTAAAAGGTACTCACTCAATTGTCCACTCTACCTACCAGGTGGATCAGCTTCTCTCTTGAGGTACTAAGGGACCTTAACTAATGTTGTTGCCACCTTCTGGAAAAGGAGTTAGCATCTGTAGAACATCCACCCTGCCCCAAAGTATAGGTATATTCTATGAATACACTACTGCAAACACATCTTGGGAAACCTACCTGGCCAAGACCTTTTAGAGAAGGTCTCTAAAAATGGCCTCCCCCTGCCTCCCAAATTCTGCTGGCATCACAGCAAGCCAAAGTTACCTAGCAGCTAAAGTTCTCGGGAGGGCAGGGAAGCCGTAAGCAAGCACAGGAAGCTGGTCTGCAGATAGGATGATGATGCAGAGAGCTAAAAGCAGTCCCTGAGAAAGCGAAGAAGCTCCTTCAATTCCTGGGAGCTTAGGTCTGGTTGTAACTTCCCATCCTAGGGTTCTGCGAAATATCCTTGTGTCCTAACTAAAGCTCTCTTTTATGTGAGCTAACCTAATGGGTTTTTATAACATACAAATAAAGAACGCTGGCAAAACTGCACACAGTAACTCATTAAGGTCTCAAAAACAACTCTCTTGGGCAAGTACTAAAATTCCCATTTTATAGGTGGAAACTGTGGGGCAGAGATAAAGTGGCTTTCACTGTGCCAGAGACCTAAGAACAAACACAGGTTGGGCTGATGCCACACTCCATGCTCCTGTCACATGGCTGGAATTAGGCTCCTTATGTTCCTTGAGCCTATGGCTACTCAAAAGTTCTGGCTGAATGAATGAATACTTGGAATACTATTATTTATAAATGGTGTTTGTTTTGTCTTTTTACCTGCACTGCTAGAGCTGAGAGGTTTCTTCGGTTTGTTCAGAGCTGGAGCAACAAGGGAGGGAGCCACTGCAGTTTCTTGACCTTGTCTGGCAGCTACAGGGTCATAGTCTTTTCCATCATAGTTTGCATCAAAAAACTTCTTGAACCATTGAACGAATTCAAAATTGTCCTGAAACTTTCCTTTTACTAATTTGTCCACAGGAATTATCTGCAGAGAAACATCAAGACTGTTTAGCCCAAAGCAAGAGGCTTTTGGCAAGCATCAAACATGTCCATGTATCAAGTCAGTATAAAGTTCTGCCAAGAGGAGAAAAAAATAGTTTAGAGGCAAGAACTTAGTGCTAAGTAAGCCCCTGGAATTTTATAGAGCAAGTTTCATTCAGTTTGCCTTCCACGAAGTATTTCCTCCTGCCAACCCCCCTTCTAGTCCCTCAAAAGGAACCAGAAATGCAAAAAAAAAAAGGGCCATATCTGAATCATATACACACTTCCAAACACATCCTACGTATTTCATTCCACTGTAAAAAGTAAATCTCCCATGTAATTTGCATGGCCACAGTGCATGTCACAAAGTATGAAACTCAAGAGCACCAACTAACCACGGGTATCTACAATGAACTGTGTTAAAGAAAATTCTGTCTTAAAAATAGGTCAAGGTGCAGAATCAGTCCCAGGATAGATTTCTAACAAAATGGTATGTTTTTCAAGTAATTTCAATCCTATTAAAACATATTTTAAGGACTCTGTACGTTTTTTTTTATTATACAATAATACTGTGTTATCGGGTATTACTTCAAATCATTGGACTGTTGGCCAGAGCTTAGCTATCTTTTAACTCTTTAAGGGTTCCGGTTGTAATGGTATTTTTATAAAAGAGAATATATATATACATATATATAATAATCTGAACTACATCTGTTCCTCTGAGCAAATAAATATAATTTTTTTAAATTACATTGTATGATACTGAAACATTTACAAATAAAATGTTATGTCTGGAATTCATTTCAAAATAATCCAGGAATACAAAAGGCGGGGCAGAGGTATAGCTGAAACACAACCAGCCATGAGTTGATCATTGAGGTACATGGGGAATCACTGCACTATATCTCTACTTTTGTATACTTTAGAAATCTTCCTTATTCAAAAAAATAAAATTCCATAAAAAGAAAAAGAAAAATTACTGTGTATAAGCTACCCCTAGTTTTTAAAACTATGCCTGGTAACTAAATGATATTCTTACAATACAAATGAACATTTTATATATTGTACACAGACGAAACTAAAATAAAGACTGATTTCAAAGTAAATAAAAATCAGACACACCAGCAGCATAATTAGGGGGTAATTATAAGCATTACTAAAAAAATGTTTTTCCCCAAAATGGCTTAAAAGGATAAACACTTCTAAATGGGGTGGGGAGGCTGCTTAATTCTGCAATACGATTCTGGGCCACTGAAAGATGGGGATGTGTTCTGAGAAACGCACTGTTAGGTGATTTCGTCATTGTATAAACATCCGAGTGCACGTACACAAATCTGGATGGTAGAGCCTGCTTCACACCTAGGCTATATGCTATAGCCTATTTACTGCTCCGAGGCTATAAGCCTGTTCAGCATGTTACTATACAGAACAGGAGAACGGGAGATTAAATCAAGCACATGAGAAAACCATGCAATCAAAAGGACTGGTTTAACACAGGATGCACGAGGCTGCTGCTGGCATGACACGGCATAACAGTTTTACAGCAAACTATTTTTTTTTTAATAAGTAGAAAGTATACTCTAAAATAACAATTAAAAGTACAGTATAGTAAATACAGAAACCAGTAACAGTCGTTTATCATTATCAAGTATTATGTACTGTACATAATTACACGTGCTATATACTAAATGTTTTTATATGACTGGCAGAGCAGATTCATGTACATCAGAATCATCACAAACAATGTGTTGTGCTACATTACGATGGCTGAGAAGTCACTATGTGACAGGAGTTTTTCAGCTCCGTTGTACTATTACAGGACCACCATCGAATATGTGGATGGAAATGCAGTCCTTCATTGACCAAGACATTGCTATATGGTGTATGACTGTAATCTATTACCTACTAAAACAGAGATAACATTTGTCCTAACGAAGCCTGGTGGACCGTGTTTCTAGTACCTTCAAATAACCTTGGGGCAAGAGGAAACTTCCAACACCCACAAGGGACCCTCCTTGTACCCTGCTTTAATAAAGCAACTACTTCTGGAATCTTCTCTATTAGAAGAACTACTTATTCTACTACATGGAATGCTTTACAGAAGTAAATCCAGAGATTAAAAGAGTTAGATCTCAGATCAATTCAGATTAAATAATAATATTTAAAAATATATATATATATATCACAAGTACAGATTTACAGGTTGATTCCTCCAGAGAGCTACTAACTTCATGATGAAGAAAGACAGCAAGGGAGCTGGGGGTAGGAGGGTAGAAGGAAACTTAGCTCCCAGTAAATTCTATGTTAACTAGAGAAAAGATAACTATAAATTGGGAAAATATAAAAAGAAAACATGTAAAGTCATGGGCCAGCATCTGTATCCTTGGTAACAATCACTAGTTAAGAAACAACCCAAATAAAAGAATAAAATTGACTTACTTTGTCAACACCCATCCTCTTAAAACCTGCTTGTAGTATTTTGAAGTTCTGGATGTATTCATGTTCTAGCTTAGCTTGGAATTTCACTTTCTTCAAGGCAATGGAGCCAGGGAACAGCATGTCCATAAACTGACAATAAGCAGCCCCTGAATGAACAACAACAACAGAAGAAAAACATACACAAGGTCATTATTAAAGAAACAGTAAATTTTTACCCAAACCTACTTGACCCGTGTACAATTTAAGAAGTTGTAAGGTGGATCTACAAAACCCAAAGTTTCATTAACATTTGATTTCGAAGTCATTTTTAAATGTATAACAAGACTGTGGTTTTACCTCAGGCTCTATAACACACTTGCAACTTGGAAACCTATGGTGAGGAAGAGAAATGGAACGTTTCTATGAAATTTTAAAACTAGTCTTTATTAGAAACCAGCATAACAATAAAATGACCACTGCAAAGAAAAATGAATGCCCAGAATAGAAAAAAGGGAAACAGGTGACATTTTCTGATTTTTCACAAGGACATAACCCTCTACCCCACCAGCGGGCGGAGGGATTTCCCAAGTATTCCAAAGATCCACCTTCTGACCTAAGTTAAAAAAAATTTTTTTTCAAAGATGTCTGTCTTCCTGAGCTTTTCACATCTTTAAATAAACTTAACTATGTTCATTGCAGCATTAAATACAATAGCCAAGATATGGAAGCAGCCTAGGTATCCATCGGTAGATGAATGGGTAAAGACGTGGTACATACTTGTATGTTATTTTTCTAATGCCTACCAAACTGCACTCTCCTAATACAGGGCAGGCTTCACTGTGCACTTACTGCCCGCCCACAGCTAATTCGCCAAAGGAACAAGCCAGGGGAGGCGGCAAGAAATCCAGGGACCAGGTACTAGGTGTTCTGCAGCACGCAAGACAGCCACAGTATGTATATTCAACTTACTTTAAATCAGGCCAAACTGGCTCTCTGCCACTTCCAGCATAGAGTGCCATTATCATTATTTTTGGAAAGACGCAATGAGAGCAAAAGCACTTCAGTGACCAAGTGATATTCTTAGTAGAAAGGAACATCAAAAAGTGAAAAGTCTGATTTTTGAAGTGGTTGATTTATTTACTCATCCAAAAATAAAACAAACAAATCAAAAAATAAATACTGCAGGCATTCTATGTACCAGGCACTGCATTAGCAATATTTATAGTTTTAAAAATAGGGACAACAACAATGTCCTAAATCCTAGAGGACAATGACCCACTGTCTTCAACAAGCTAATACAGCATGAAGAGGGGTAATTGTTATATTTTAAGAGACTTAAAAGTCATAATTTACCAAGTGTAATGTATAGATCTTGTTTAGATCTTGATACATACAAATCAACTTTAAAAAAAAAAAAAGATAAGTACAATACTCTATTAAGCATCTATACCCACTGCACTGCTTTACAAATAAAATATATTCTTCTGAAACAACAAAATAATGTGCTTTTACTAAGTGCACAGTATTCTCAAGCTATCCATGGGACTTCCAAGTGAAGTCAACCCAAATCACTTAAAAGCAGCAGTCATCTGCTTCTCAGAAAAGCCTGCTTAAAGAACTATCCATTTTTATTTTAGAGCGAGAAAAATCCTTAGAGCCTTAAACTTAAAAATTGAGGACGAAAAACTGTGGCCCAAGACTACAGAGGCCGAAGACCAGGCATAGGACCAAACCCCAAGTCTCCTGACTCCCTGTGCACTGCTCTTTTCCACATCATTCTATACCCTCTGAGAACACCCTATAGGGAAGTAAAGAGGCATTTCCTGAATCTGGGAAAACAAGAGCTACACCATCCTGCTACACTCTAACTGGCTGAAACAGAGTTAATGTATATAAAGAAAAACATTCAGACCCCAGTAAAAATGGATAAAACAATCGGACAATTCACAAAAGAAATGTAAATGGCTAATAAGCACAGAGGGCCCAGCCTAAGGAAGTAATTTTTTAAAGGGGAGGCAAAGATCCACACATAAAACTGGTTATCATAACTTTATTCACAGGAGTAAAAAATAGAAGCAATCTATTGGGTTGTCGAAAAGTCATGACGCATTTTTTCCAATGAAAAACAGAAAGAACACATTATGACTTTTCCGACAACCCAATATATCTCCAATAGTAGGAGCAATCAATTACGTAAGTTTTTAGCATACCATCTGCCTGACAGAATAGTATGCAGGCATTCAAAACACATTTTTACTTTTTTAGGAAGAGCTCAAGATTTAACATTAAAAGAAAAAGCAAGATACAACAGCGTATCTGTAATGTCTTCATATATGTAAAAATATCCATCTTGATATATATGCATAGAAAAAAGACTAGAACAATTAGGTTAAATCATATGAATTAGTTCTGTAGATCAAAAATAACTAAATGGTGGCCATCTCTGAGGGATGATACTGTATACATTCTACTTTTTAAATATTTAATTACATACTACACAGTGAATATTACTTTTATAATCAGAACCCCCCAAAAAGGTAAATGTTTTTAAAAGAAAAAAGTATATCAGCTGCTTTATCCAAAAGGACTGAAAACTCCTGGCCTATAAATGTCTCAACTGGGTACAGAACAGGTTAAAGGGGACCTTCCTTCCAAATTCTGCCTTAATAAAGGCTGGCAACCCAAGCAGTGCTAGAAGAGAACCCCTCTTAAATGGCTGCTATCCCAACAATCTGCAACAGAACAGGCCCACATAATCTGTGGCTTAAGGATGCAGACATACTTAGAGTAGGACCAGCTGTGTCATGGCATCAACTACCAAGTCTCACTGACTGCCACAGCCCCACCCTATCAGGATCTGTGCTTCAGGCAGAGAATACAAAACAAGGGCACAATGCAGCACTTGCTCTAAAAATTAGCAACTATCTCAAGTGCACTGGCTCTCAACCTTTTTGGGTCAAGGGTTCCTTGGAGAATAAGATGAAAGCTGCAACCAACATTTTATACAGAATAGATGCTCCCCTATCAGGAAACTTCAGATGAAAAACTCCCAGTGTTTAAACTCAAACACAGGAACCTCTCCGACTATTAACTATAAGAGGTTAAAGCTTTAGGGGGTAAGGTGAGGCTTGAGTCCTCTTTAAAGGATGAATACAATTTTGAAATAAGAAGGCTGTGAGGGGTCATTAATGCAGACATTAGAAATCATCCTCAAGATATTTAACATGGTAAAAGTAATCCTATTTTAATTTTAAAAGCAGGCGACAAAACTGTACAACACGTGTGTTTGTATATGTTACTTGAAACAACCACCTGTAATACCAATAGACTGGAAACAAACTAAATGTCCATTAACATGGGACTGATTCAAGGAAATTGCTGTACTGCACAGCCATAAAAGAAAATCAGGGCTGGCTGAGTGGCGCATTGGTTAAGAACTGGCTTGGGATCCCAGAGGGCCCCGGTTCGGATCCCACATATGAGGGCCAGTGACACTGCCCTCTACAGCTAAGATGCTGAACAATAGCTCAACCTGGAGCTGGGCTGCCATGAGTCGCCGGTGACGGCGTAGGCTGCAGCCCCTGTGGCAGTGGATTGCCATGGGCTACCGTGTGCAGCCAGCAGCCGCAGTGAGCGGCCGTCCAGAAGCCGGCGACTGATCTGCCTCGCCCGGGAAGAGCGCAATGATGGTGCCAACTTGGGCCAGTGAAGCAACGTCCTCCACAACTGGACTGAAGAACAAAAGGACAGCAACTTGTCTGTTCCCCTTCCCCCAATTCCCCAGCGCTGTTCCCATCTCCCAATTCCCCAAAAAAAATCTTTTAAAAAATAATAAATAAATAAAAAATAGAGTGGTATCTGATATTCAAATATGGATCACTCTCCAGAATATACACAGTGATTAGACACAATACCATTTGTGTAAAAAGGGGAGAGAAAGAGCACACATGCACACACACGGAGAGAGGGGTGTTTTTTGCTTGTTCCTACCCAGTTGACAATGCTAGTTTACTCTGGAGAGCAAAACTAGGTGGCTGGTAGACCCGGTCAAGAGGGAGACTTAATCACTGTTTTACCTTCTTGCTCCTTTTGAATTTTAAGCCATTTTGAGACTTTCAGTTACTCAAAAAAATAAAAACTATATATAAGTATGTCAATTATGTTGAAAAATTATAAGAAAATGCTGAAAGTACAACTAAAATGAGTGACCTTGGGCAAGTTGTTTAACTTCTGTGTGTTTCAGTTGCCTATCCGTAAAATGGGGGTGATGGTCCTTACCTTGCAGATTATATATGTAAAACACTGGAAAACGCTCAGCTTATCACAAGCACTCAATAAATAAGGCGACAATTAGGAAAAAATACAGCTAAAAAATAACAATGACTATCACTAACTTGTGACATTACAGTGGACTATGGTTTTTCTTAATGTTTCAGTAACAAAGAATCACTTATAATCAGAAGAAAATAAGTTTCTTGTCTTTTGTTTTGCTTTAATTAAGGCATATAAAAATTAAGGAGGTGCTTGAAGAGTTAAGAAAAAAAAAGTTTGAAACGATACTTCCTTGAACACAGGAATGACAATAAAAAAGGTCTCTTACAAAGTCTGCAGACTAATGTGGTACAACAAGAGAGAAGTGGGGGCAGGGGAACCTAATGAGAACCTAGTGCCCAATTAGGGGGCCACTGTGGCAGCTGTAAGCAAACTGAGAAGTGGCTGGATCCAAAACACCCTTCAGAAGAGATACAGAACTTTGTGAATTAGTTTCAAAAGATGGTTCTCAGGCAGTGACACTGAAAGAATGGTAAAATCATGGCCCCAAATGGAGTGTCTGGAAAAGGGAGTCCAGTTGAGGGGAAAAAGTGGGGGAGGCCTGGTTAGGGAGTGGTCACACACCCTTCAGAGCAGCATGGGCAAGACTGATACACTGTTTTACAGAAACTCAAGGGCTGGCAGGGCTCCACCATAAGCTGAGGAAAAGGAAATCCAGCATTTGCCTGGGAGCATCTGAACATCTCTCCACTCTGTGCAGCACAGAACTGCGGAGGAGGCCAAGCTGGTGGGGAGAAGGCAAGAAGAGAAGGCGGAGCTAGCTGAGAACATTCAGCAAGGGCCACTCAACATTTCCAAAGCACCATGCTGGGGGCCCTTGGGAAAGTGAAGAGGG